GGTAAAAAAAAAAAAAAAAAAAAAAAAAAAAAAAAAAGAACCAGTCGGCAATCAGCTAGCTTTCAGGCCGTAACAATGCCAAGTGCCCTTTATTCCCTCTAATGGCTCTGAGTGCCGTCTGGTCTTTAGATTTAATTGAATTGTTTATTTGATGAGGGATTTCGTTGCGTCTCCACTGGCGAAGATACGCTTGAAAGGGTAAAGAGGGAGCGCCCACTTTTCTTTTCTCTCTTTCCTCCGTCCTTACCTTATCCACGGTCCATACGGCCGCGCGGCCAATGTCCATTGGATGTCCTTGCAAGAGGAGGATAATGAGGCGGTCGCATCCGTGGATTTATTTGCAGGCTAGAGCGAGTGCGAATGTTGCCTCGTCTCCCTCTCAGTGGGAACTAGAGACTCTTCTGTAAAAACTTCTCTTTCTCGTGGTTTCACAGAGAGCACTTAAATCTTCTCGAGAAGGAGCCCTCCTCCCTCCTCCCTCCTCCCTCCTCCCACCCACCTTACGTCACGGGAAAAGATTCGCGCACTCGGCACCCTCGACGCTTCCAGGAAGGAAAGTGCGCGCGCGCGGCGAGCATTACTTTCAGCCGCCATTTGGTTAAGTGATTTTAATTCGAAGGCTCTCTCAGGATAATGCGCGGCTGAAACAATCGGGAAAACCCCGCTGAGATATGCTGAGACGACAGGACGCTCTGAGAATGCCTGAGGGTGGGTCAAAGTAGTGCGCGTGGCTGAAAGAGGACTCAAGAGAAGGCTGGAGGAACGAGGGATGCCAGAGGAAGATTAATTGACAGGAGCACGTGGCTGGAGGTCCAAGGGGTTTCAAGGGGTTTCAAGGGGTTTCAAGGGACTCGCCTCGAGTCAAGCGAGACCACTTATCTTAATAAAGCAGCAGCAGGGTCATTCCCAAAACAATGGCTGCCTGAGCAACGTCGAATAAAACTTGAGAAAAGTAAAATAGACTAGGCTGAGATTTTCCATCTACCACGAGTCGACGGCGCTAGTAATCCAATTTCGCGCGACTGTAGGCACTGAGTGTCGTCGCTCACATGTCGTGATGGGCCCTTTGACCCTAGCTGGATGACCGAAAAGCAGGTGCCCGCGTGCACGGGGCATAGGGTTACGAGCAGTCGCTATCCATCCATCCAGCCATCCCATGGGAGTCACGTGCTGATGAGTTCACCAATGGCACGACCCTCTGTCGTTAAAGTGGATTCCATTCCAGTTACTTCTAACTCGGTTCGCAGACACTACTGCCCAGACGTGGGCAGTATCTCGTATCTCGAAGTCGAAATCAAGGCCGAACGATCCTGCGTCGCTAGCGCCTCCCTGGACTTATTTATTGAATTTATTTAATCCTGCTGCCTATGCCGCCGGCAGGATCAGGCAGGATCAGGCAGGATCGCCATTAAGTACCCAACGCCCTAGCGACGCTCATAGACGCCTTCATCTATATACTTTGGAGGACAGTTGCATGCACATTTCTCCATTTCACATTCGTTCACGAAAATATCTTTGCTGCATCATGAGAACCTTTGAAAACCACAAGATCTTGAAACTTTCTCAAATCTGCATTTCGGTTTCCCTCTCGTACCACTGCCTTGGCTCAATGTCAAGAAAATGTCATTGCTCGCAGATTACCTAGCTATTTCTGCTCCTGTTATTACTGCCTCTTCCACGAGTCCTTCCTCTTTCTCTCGCTTCTTCATTTCCTTATCAGATATGTATCTAATGTAGGTGAGAATTGAAAAAGTTTGCGCGCTACGGTGTTTTTCAGATGGCTCGTTTTGCTTCGGAATGAGAAACAGCAGTGAGTTGTCATTTCACGAGATTAATTTACGAAAAGAATGGCACGACGTGTGTAAATTTTGCAGATTCTTAATCTTTACGTCTGGCCAGTATTTTAGTGAATAGTAAATCTTCACGTTGTGTTAAAATCTGTTATCTTCTTCTAACTAATTACGATCTCCATAAATGAAGTGCTCCATCTCTCAAACTATCTCGGGTATCCCAAAGACATCGATCAAGCGTTGAGACTGGTTCAGAAATCGGAAAACATTGAATTCTTCAGTAACGTCCTTCGAGACAAGAATCGACGATTTTTTGATTCCTCGAAAAAAAAGAAAATTCGAAAATTAAGAATAACAAATCGAACACGGAATCGTCTACCACGAAATTTAACCTCAATTTTCCGGAGCGGTCGAGCGTATAATGTATCGAATTCCGCAGGGACGAAGGTCGCGCTACGAACTCACGACGTCACATACAAACGTAAAGGAATATGGAAAAGAGAGAACCGCCAAGAGGACAGGCTGGAAATATCGGAGAGTTCGTAAGCCAGGAGACCGAAAAGTTGTCCCAAAGTTGAAAGGCGACCAATTTTAATCCGTTCGTTTGCATATCCTTTGCATCTTTTACAACTTTTTCGATTTCAGCTGCTCTCTCAACGGATGAACACGTCGACGTTGTTGATCCCACAGCCACCGTTCACCATAATTTTCCGACTTGAATTGAAGTCTGAAAAAGAGTGTGAGCGGCGCGCAACGAAGGAGCAGACTGTTGGTTCTGGATGTATTCGTGGAAACTTTATTAAAACCGAGAATGGTGAGGTTGGCGTCGACGTCGGCGTCGGTGTCGTGGCGACGTCAATGTAAACGCGGTACATGCACCAAACGGAAACTCGGTAACGTCAAGAATTTTACCAATTACCAATCCACTGAGGTGATGAGACCCGGATCAGTGGAAGACAGCGTAAAACTAGCGGAGAAAGGCACGCGTCGCAATAGAACCTACTTCTTGATAACTGGTATTAATCAAATGAAGCGATTTCCGTTACAGCCGGCACCAAAATAGGCGTTAGGTGCCCGTACTCGCAAGCAGAGAATTAGATCTGATAGTTGGCCCTGGAATAATCTCCATCTTTGTCTTCGGTTTCACGATTATCTCCGGCGTCGCGTACTGCCCCCTCAATGGTAGGCGGAAACATTTGAACCTTATTGGCAAATATCTCGCGTGTACTAAACTAATACTAATATAGGAAATTCACATTTCCTCTTGCGACGAAAGCATCACGATGTCTATTAGTGCAATCTCCGGAAAACTTATTCGAATGTCACGGTACTTCAGTGGCCAATAACAGATGGTTGGTTTGGTCCGAGGTTAAAGATGACAGGAGCTCTCAAGTAGCTGCTGCTCTCATTGAAATTAGTAAGGTTCCCGGATGACCTGCTACTACCGCTTTGACAACCACCTGCGAGCAGATACAGGCTGCGAGACGTCCCTTTGTCCAACGGCCCAAGTTTCACGATTCGTCAGCCAGTCCCATTTTGCTGGTTGAATTTACACTGGAGCTTAGGAAACGACCTCCCACGGGTCGCGTTACGTAAAGATCGCCAAGCGAAACGAGTAGCGGCTCAAAGTTTTCTAACGTATCGCCCGAGTCTCGAATCTCCCCCACCCTAAAATACCTAGTGCTCACTTTTGTACATTTCAATGATGCTCAATCAACCTGAATCAGTAAACTATTATTGTCCAGTAAATTATGCGCTCCTTTCACGTCTCGCCTTTCCGCCGACAATACAAGAAGACGATCCCTCCGTTCGTAGTCAACCTTTATTTTATATCAGCTACAAATTTTTTTAATAAAATCAAATAAGCAAGCAGCCAAATCGACAGGAATCGCACTACATTTGGTTATGCTACAAGACAGTACTTGCATTGAGCAATGCAATTTTTGTTTTGCAAAATAATCTTTGATATCAAACTGTTCGTATGAATAACATTAATTATGCACTTTTTTTTATCTTGACAGTAGCAGGCCACGGAAGGAAGTGTTATTATTACTACGAACGTCTACATTAGGATATAAAGTAAAACGCTACTTATAGAAATAATAAGAAATTACAGGTTCTATTCGTTATTCGAATGGCTAGTCACATTTTATCAGAGATGAATTCCATAAGTTCGCGGACGTACTCTTAATACTTATTTATGAGTGTTATTAACGCAACACACTAAAACGTATCATTTCTTAAAATGTAGATGTAAAAACCTCGATGGGCTTACTTTGATAGACAACGATAATAACTAGAAGTAATTTGGTAAAGAATCATCGGTCAGGAAGTTGCATACTTTCCAGCACCAATCGCCTTTGTCATCCAATGCAACATGAATTATGAGATACGGCCTTTTTATGGAGAAGCAAATAATCCCAAGGTTTTTTATAGAATCTAAATAATTTTCGCACTATACCCAAACTCTAAATTAAACGCAGGGCTCGACGTAGTTTCCCGGAAAAAGTCCAGTAATTCCATCCATAACGCCTTCCCACCAACCATCGTCGTTCTTTTTCAACACGTAGATAACCGAGCTCTCTTGAAAACTCAACTCATCCTCCTTATCGGCGTAATAATCATAAATGGCCACCACTGAAATGCATGGATTATATAACAAACAAGAATACAACATATGTAGTTGGTCTTGAACCATGCAGAACACTGACCTTTCTCTATGTAATTCTTAGGTACCCATCCAGGCAGATCTTCTTCGTCAGGTACAATAGGCATTATTGCACCGGTAGACTGTGACGGTCTGCCAAACTGAGGATGCTCTTCCTGTTCTGGAGGCGGTGGCGGCGGTAAAGGAGGACTGCTGGCACCGCTGCTACGACTCAGTTGATGAGATAAACGATGCGGCAGAGTATGATGACCGGTGTAATCAGTGACATCTCCACCAATACCAACTAATGGCGAGGGTGGTGCTAAGATAAATTAAATAAAATCGAAATTAACTAAAACAAAGATGTGCCTTACAAGGGCAATCGGAATGACATCACCGTTACGATTACCAAGGGGAGACGAATTTAAATGCTAAGGACGATGATAAGAACACGTACGTGGCATGCTATTATGCTGTTCTTGCACGTATCCAGCTACACCAGTGATACTTGGCGGTGCAGGTGGTGGCGTTTGAGGATGACTCTGCAGCGGATGGACTGTTCCTACTTGGGGTGGTGATGTATGCTGGGGCATTGTGCCTGAGGGAGTGTTATGATTTACAGTGTGGCCAGCAATGTGACTCGGGTGAGAAGTTGTGTGAGCATGAAGAGGAAGTGTGCTGTAACCCGGTCCACGCTCCCGCCTTGGATGACCCAGTGGATAATTGGGTGCATAATGACTGGGCACTTGTGGTGGTGCCACTGCAGGCGGTGTTCGGTACTCCCGTGAACCTTTACTCAAAGTTCCTGAAAGAAAAAACGCATAGATCATTATTTTTGCAACCCTAAAGGATTCTCTAATTTAAAGCAGTTTTACCTGTTCTAACAGTTTGCGGCGGTGTAGGCGGTTTAGTTGTTGGTGCAGGCCCCACCATTGTGGCCCCTAATCCTGAACCTGTAGATGCTGCTCCCAAACTTTGAACGCTGCCCTGGCTTCCACCTCTTTGCTTACTCCTTGGAGTACCACCACTTCGCACACCATGACCAATTTCATCAAGAATCGTATAATCAATACTCTTCCTGACATATTTTATAGGCTTTTCAGGATTTGCAGGAGCAATGATTTTATATTGGCGGGTAGTCATTTTGTTTGCAGTAAGTACCCCAATTTCTCTGCGAGCCACCTTTTCCTTGTGTATCATGACAGTTTGTGCAATATGATTCATTTGACTTTCCATCTCAGCAAGCTGAGATGTCTGTAAGTCCAATAACTGTAGAAAATTATAAGCAAGTGTATTTATCTGATAAGCTACACTGGCTAATGATTGTGTTGTATAATTTTTTGTTTCCTCTAAAGCAATCCTTTTATTTTCTGCTTGAAAATAATTTGCTTCACAATACTCAGCTACACGTTCCAAATTCGTATGGCTGTCTGCAAGATTGCTTCTTCCTTCAGGTATTTCCTGACGAAGGAGGGCAGCCAACTCTGCCATGGTGTCCGTATCACTGCCTACTGCACACAATACATAATATGAATCTACTGTTCCTATTAGTTGAAAAAAATATTTGATATACTTTTTCCTACAGAAACTCTGATGCATAAAGGAAATCTGCATGTTCAATAGTAAGAATGAGCATTGACAATAGAGACTAAATCTAATTCCTATCAACCTGTACTTCTTGTAATGGGACATTAAAAAATTTCCTACACCATCGTCATATTCATGGTTTAAAATAAAAATAATGAATGCTGATACAATGCTTGTCCAAATTGAATATGAGGGGTGGTGCCTGACAGTCAGGCGACAAAATGGAGATAGGCGACAGAAAGTAAATTTCAATTAGAAGCTTGATGTAACTTTATTTATTTATAATTACCCAATTTGCTTGTTCAATATAAGAATCCACCCGCCCCTCACTAAACCACACCAAGGCAAATACGAATGAGTCGGGGGATGACTACCAATCACCACTGAATACAGATAGTAATGAAAAATCAACTATATTCGACTGGACGAACAGCCAACTAGGTGCAACGATCAGTAAGAAAATTGCCAATAAGCCGATTTTCACCAGAGATGAGTACGCAGATGCACAACGCTACGGTTTTAGGTGATACAAAAATCATGGCGCTATATCGTAGCGGCGAGTCCGGAAGTAGGATTTCGTGATCAACGTCTCCGTCGACAATGCGAATTCCGTCGTAGCCGAGCTAAACGTTACCAGGAACGCGTAGCTTAGTGGGCAGAGGTTCTCCGATACTTACGGCTGGTTCCCAAAACAACCCTTGGAACGAGACCGAAAACTATAGAACTTCTGAAGAAATATTGAAAAAGTCTATTGTTGAAACATTTTTAAGACACTTTTAAGAAAGCGCAGTGTCAACTTTACACCCGTGTAGCACCTACATTTTTACTAAATATTATTGGATCTTGATTTACTTTGAAAATTTATTCA